TGAGATTAAAGGTTTTTATTTTCACCTTGGAAGGTGTGTGCGAGACCTCCTGCAGGAGGGCCTTCTCATTTGCTGTGCTCAGCTAAAGCTGCCGTGCTAGGAATGCAGTTGGCAGGAAGTGGAGGTTGATTTGGTGAGCCAGTGAAGCTGTTTTTCCCATTATTTTTTTTCCTGAAAAACTCATTTCAATGGTGAATTTCCCCCCATGGTTTGTCACACGTCATGTTTAATTGCATTAAGAGTTAGAAAACTCATGTGCCTCTGAACTCCCCTGCTTTCCTTCTGCTCTGGGGAAAGTCCTTCTGTTGCAGACATGAGTCTCTGCAGAGTTGTGACTGCAGTAACAGGATTGTTTCAGATGTTACATTGGTTTGTATTGCTTGTGGTTGTGGAATTCTGGGGAGGAAGGAGGGGGCCTTCCATTCTCAGGTTGGATGTTCACTTGGGAGGCTTTGTCTTGGTGAATTCTACCAGTACTTGCATCCACCCCGCAGAGAGCTATGTCATAGGTCACCTCTGCACTCATGGAATCAACACAGCCACAGACACAGCTCCCAAGGGAACAACCAGCCCCCCAGGTGCCCATGTGCAAGGCTGTTATGCGTTATTGGTTTTTCCCGTTGGCATCCAAAGTTGGAGGCCCTGTGTGCTGCAGCATCATCAGCATGAGTGAGACGTGGTGGGAACGGTCCTGTGACGGGTGTGCTGTATGTGATGGATGCCCACACAGCAGAGCAGGTGTGAAGTATTGTTTCAGCCTATTGAGAACAGGGAGGCTAACATGGTTTCCACCAGTCAGTGAGTTTAATCCAAGAAGACTGTGGCAACCCAGACGGAGGGGTTGCTCAGAAATGTGGCTGTTCAAGTCTCTGGCTTCAGGGACTGCTTGAGCCTGCTGCTACCTGGGGAAGATGGCAGGGATTACATCTGCATGAGGTGTGAGCAAGTGGATGAGTTACTCCAGCTGGTGATTGAGCTCAAGGAAGAGGTACAGAAACCTAGGACCATCAGGGAATGTGAGTGGGAGATAGACTGTTGGGGTGACTGGCTGGCATGTCAGAGGAAAGGGTGCCAGGAAGACACCCTCACAAAAGTGGTGGACCCCCAGCCCCACCAGAGTAGGACAGACCTGACTGATGAGGAGGGTTGGACGAGAGTCCCTGCTTGACGTCATGGGAACCCCCCCTGCCTGCCTATCCCGCTTCCCCAGATCCCCCTTAGCAACAGGTTTCACATGCTGGAAATGGAAGGTGAGGTGAGCAATGAGGTGATGGAGGATCTGCTGAGGAGGGAGCCTAAGGCAAGGAGGGAGTCTAAGGCGAGGCGGCCATCCCCATGCCTCCAGACTGCCTCTGTCAGGAAAGAAAGAAGGGTGGTCGTGGTGGGTGACTCCCTTCTCAGAGGAACAGAGGGCCCCATATGCAGACCAGACCTGAGCCGCCGAGAAGTGTGCTGCCTTCCTGGGGCCCGGGTCAGGGACATAAGCAGGAAAATACCAAAGCTGGTGAGGCCCACTGATTACTTTCCATTGCTCATAGTTCAGGTGGGCAGTGAAGAAATTACTCAGACAAGCCTACGGGCAATGAAAAGGGATTTCAAGGGTTTAGGGCGCTTAGTTCAAGGTGCAGGAGTACAAGTACTCCTTTTGTTCTGTACTATCAGGGGCAGTGTGGGACTCAGAGCTTGCACGGAAGGTGCAAGCAATGAATAACTGGCTCAGAGGCTGGTGCCGAGCCAGAAACTTTGGGTTCTTCGACCATGGAGTAGTTTACTCGGCCCCTGGCTTGCTGTCCAACTATGGAACCCACCTATCTGAAAGGGGGCAACGAATCTTAGCTCAGGAGCTAGCGGGGCTCATCGATAGAGCTTTAAACTAATTATGACGGGGGAAGGGGGACAGCACAGGCCTCACAAGAGAAGAGCCTAGGGGAACGATTTTAGAGCTGGGAGTGAGGCAAATGACTCGGCTCAAGTGCATCTATACCAATGCACGCAGCACGAGCAACAAGCAGGAGGAACTGGAAGCGATTGTGCACCAGGCTAACTATGATCTAGCTGCTGTTACTGAAACATGGTGGGACAGCTCCCATGACTGGAGTGTTGAGATCGATGGCTATAAGCTCTTCAGAAGGTATAGACACGGAAGGAAGGGTGGTGGTGTGGCCTTTTATATTAAAGACTGTTTTGATGTTGAAGAGCTTGAGATTGCAAATGATAAAGTGGAGTGTCTATGGGTGAGGGTCAGGGGGAAGGCCTGTAGGGGAGACATCGTAGTTGGGGTCTGTTATAGACCACCAAATCAGGATGAGGAGATGGAGGAAGCATTCTACGAGCAGCTTGCGGAAGTCGTGCGATCGCCAGCACTCGTTCTTGTGGGGGATTTCAACTTCCCTGATACATGTAGGAAATATAACATGGCTCAAAGGAAGCAGTCCAAGAGGTTTCTGGAGTGTGTGGAAGATAGCTTCCTTACACAGCTGGTACGAGAGCCTACCAGGGGTCGTGCCCTGTTTGACCTGCTCTTTGCTAACAGAGAAGGATTGGTAGGTGATGTGAAGGTTGGAGACTGTCTAGGACAGAGCGACCGTGAAATTGTAGAGTTCTCTATTCTTGGAGATGTCAGAAGGGTGACTACCAAAACTGCTATCTTGAACTTCCAGAGGGCAGACTTTGACCTGCTCAGGACGCTTGTAGCATGGGTCCCTTGGGAGTCGCTCCTTAAGGGTAAAGGGGTCCAGGAAGCCTGGACGCTCCTCAAGGTGGAAATCTTAAAGGCACAAAAACAGGCTGTCCCTGAATACCGTAAGGCGAGCCGTAGGGGGAGAAGACTGGTGTGGATGAGCCAGAAATTACTGTCAAGACTCAGGAAAAAAAAGAGAGCCTATGTCCTCTGGAAGAAGGGACAGGCTACTAGGGGAAATTACAAGGAAGTTGCTAAGGTATGCAGGGAGGAAGTCCGGAAGGTGAAAGCCCATCTTGAACTTAGATTGGCCACTGCAGTAAAAGAGGATAAGAAATCCTTTTACCAATATCAATGGCAAGAGAAAAACCAAGGATAATCTCTATCCTTTAATTGATGTGGCGGGGAATGTGACCACAGATGACGAGGAGAAGGCTGAGGTCCTCAACGCCTTCTTTACATCTGCCTTTAATAGTCAGACCAGTTATCTTCAGGGCACTTTGTGCCCTGATCTGGATATCTGGGCTGACACGCAGAATGTCTCCCTGGAGATTGAGGTGGAGGCCGTTAGGGAGCTCCTCCTCCATCTGGACAGTCACAAGTTCATGGGACCGGATGGGCTTCATCCTAGGAAATGTTGGGAGGGAGTTGGCGGGGGTGATTGCTAAGCCGCTCTCGGCTATCTACCAGCGCTCCTGGTTGACTGGAGAGGTTCCAGAGGATTGGAGGCTTGCTGATGTGACTCCCATCTACAAGAAGGGCCATAAGGAGGATCTGGGAAACTACAGGCCTGTCAGCCTGACTTCAGTACCAGGGAAGGTCATGGAACAAATCCTCCTGGGAGAGATCACACGGCTCGTGCGTGACGTCCATGGGATCAGGTCCAGCAAGCATGGGTTCATGAAAGGCAGGTCATGTTTGACCAACCTCATCTCTTTCTACCACTGGGTCATCAGACTGGTAGATGAGGGAAAGGCAGTTGATGTAGTCTACCTAGGCTTCAGCAAAGCCTTTGCCATGGTCTCTCACAGTATCCTTCTGTGGAAACTGGCTGCCCCTGGCTTGGACAGTTTTACCCTCCGTTGGATAAGGAAATGGCTGGAGGGCCGTGCTCAACGGGTGGTGGTCAATGGAGTGAAGTCTAGCTGGAGACCTGTTTCAAGTGGTGTCCCCCAGGGGTCGGTGCTGTGGCCCATCCTGTTTAATATGTTCATTGACGACTTAGATGAAGGGATTGAGTGCACCCTGAGTAAGTTTGCAGATGAGACCAAGCTGTGAGGTGGTGTCGATCTGCCTGAAGGCAGGGAGGCCCTGCAGAGGGATCTAGATAAGCTGGATCGCTGGGCTGAGGTGAATGGGATGAGGTTTAACAAGGCTAACTGTCGGGTCCTGCACTTTGGCCACAATAACCCCATGCAGCATTACAGGCTTGGGGATGAGCGGTTGGATGACTGTGAAGAGGAAAGGGACCTGGGGGTGTTGGTTGATGCTCAGCTGAATATGAGCTGACAGTGTGTCCTGGTGGCCAAGAGGGCCAACAGTATCCTGGCCTGCATTAGAAACAGGGTGGCCAGCAGGAGCAGGGAGGTCATCGTCCCCTGTACTCAGCTCTGGTGAGGCCATACCTCGAGAGCTTCTGGGTGTCAGGAAGCCTTCACAGAACCTCACCCGAGGACACGGGCAAGCTCCTGCTGGTTTCACTAGCTCACCAAAATCAACTCCACTTCCTGCCAACTGCATTCCTAGCACAGCAGCTTTAGCTGAGCACAGTAAATGAGAAGGCCCTCCTGCAGGAGGTCTCGCACACACCTTCCCAAGGTGAAAATAAAAACCTTCAAGCTCAAAAGGGATCACTTGCAAGGCAAGCATGCACTGGAGAGCACTCTGGTATCTCTGTGCTGTGGGGATGAGCTGCTGGCACACCGTGTGGGTTTGCACTGCCTTCTGCTCCCACCACCTCCAGAAACTTGGAGAACAAGCTCAGCTTTTTGTACTTTTATTGGAAACAAGGCTCAGTGTAACACTGCTGCTCTGAGCAACAGAAACACAATGCAGCACGGTTAGGAAGGATGACAGGATTGTATGAACAAAACGTCTTCTACAGAAGCAAGCACAGGGCTGGAAGGAGGCACACAAACCAAATCCTGCTTGCACCTTTCCCTCTCCTCATTCCACATGCTGACATTCATTGTAAGAACAACAAACAAGACTACACTGAAGAAAGATTCAGAACAACTCAGCTTCTTTATTCACCCTCTACGCCTTCCACTACAGATGATTCTCAGAAAACCTCCAACAGCCACGTTACTGCTCTCCTGACCCTTCTCTCAAGTTCACCAGTGCACTCACAAATTACTGAGAGCAACACATGCACACAGACACACAGAACATCCCTGCACAGCTGCTTCTCCTTAGGAAACGGCATCAAAAAGCTGCTGGCAGGAAGAGCAGAAGAAACCGGGCATGGTGAGAGAACTGCTCTGGGTAGCAAGGAAAGGCCATCTGAAGCTCCTGGGTTAAGTCCCTTCTGCAGAGGGTGCCAGTCATGCACCAGGAACACTTGTAGGGTCAGTGAGGAACTCTGCCCTCTGCACAAAGCCCTTCTCACATGCGAGGCATTTCTAAGGCTTCCTGCCACGTGAACTCACTGGACTTCACCCAAGTGCAGACACTCTGGTAGCTCAGCAGGTTTGAGGTGTGGCCAAAACTCTTCTTGCAGGCTGTGCATTTATGGGGTTCCTCATGTGAATCCACAGGTGTGTGTTGAGCTCCCAGCTCTGGACACACCTCTTCCTGCAGTCAAGGCACTCACTGGGACTCTCCACTGGTTGGTTCTCTGGGATCTACTGAGGGTTGAGCTCCAGATGAAGCTCTTCCCACACAGCCTGCAGACAGGATTTCTTCCTTCCTGCTGACATATCAGCCCAGCTGAGGTTTCCTTTGGATCCTCACCTGCTGCCCCAGGCACAGGAGTTTCTACGGGGGAGGTAAGAGGTGACTCTCCTTGCACACAGCCCTGGCAGAAACGTGCCACCTGGCAGAACTTTTTGAGTGGCTGTGACACATCCCACTCTGGATTCTCCTCTGTAAGGCCACTCAACACAGCAACTGCAGCTGAAGGAGAGCAATGTGCAGAATTCTCATGCAAAGAAGGAGAAAGAGGATTTAGATTGGCCGCAGAGCTCTTCCTCTACTCAAGGGATTTGTAAGGTTCATCACTACACAAATCCATAGTTGGTCACCAGGCTGGGGCTCTGCCTGAAGCTCTTCCCACGTTATGGGCTCTGCAGGCTCTGTGTCTTGTGTGGCTGTGCTGATAGGTAACGAGGTCGAAACTGCCTTTGAAGGTTCTCCGTATCTTGAGATGCTTCTACAGCCTATGTGCGGTGTGGATGCGCTTGTGGGTGTTGAGATTAGACTTGCGTGTAAAGCTCTTCCCACACTCAGGGCACTTGTAGGGTTTCTCCTCTGTGTGGAAGTGCTGGTGTTGCTTCAATGCGGAACTGGTCTTGAAACTCTTCCCACACTCAGAGCACTTGTAGGGTCTCTCTCCTGTGTGGATGCGCTGGTGCCGCTTCAGTTCAGAACTGCTAATGAAGCTCTTCCCACACTCAGAGCACTTGTAGGGTCTCTCTCCTGTGTGGATGCGCTGGTGGTAGGTGAGTTGGGAACTGCACGTGAAGCTCTTCCCACACTTATGACACTGAAATGGTTTCTCCCCTGTGTGGAAGCGCTCGTGGCGCTTCAGTTCAAAACTGCTTTTGAAGCTCTTCCCACACTTATGACACTGAAACGGTTTCTCTCCTGTGTGGAAGCGCAGGTGGTAGATGAGATGGGAACGGCTTTTTACGGCCTTCCCACACTCACAGCACTTGTAGGGTCTCTCCTCTGAGTGGCAGCGTTTGTGGCTCTTCAAATCAGAACTGCTTTTGTAGCTCTTCCCACACTCAGTACACTTGTAGGGTCTCTCTCGTGTGTGATTGCGTTGGTGGTAGGTGAATTGGGAACTCCATGTGAAGCTCTTCCCACACTCGGGGCACTTGTAGGGTCTCTCTCCTGAGTGCATATGCTGGTGCAGCTTCAATTCAGAACTGCTTTTGAAGCTCTTCCCACACTCAGAGCACCTGTAGGGACTCTCACCTGTGTGGATGCGCTGGTGCCGCTTCAATTCATAACAGTACTTGAAGGTCTTCCCACACTCAGAGCACTTGCAGGGCTTCTCTCCTGTGTGAAAGCGCTGGTGCACTTTCAAACCAGAACTGCTAATGAAGCTCTTCCCACACTCAGAGCACTTGTAGGGTTTCTCCCCTGTGTGGATGCGCTGGTGGTAGGTGAGTTGGGAACTGCACGTGAAGCTCTTCCCACACTTATGACACTGAAAGGGTTTCTCCCCTGTGTGGAAGCGCTCGTGGCGCTTCAGTTCAGAACTGCTTTTGAAGCTCTTCCCACACTCATGACACTGAAATGGTTTCTCTCCTGTGTGGAAGCGCAGGTGGTAGATGAGCTGGGAACGGCTTTTTACAGCCCTCCCACACTCACAGCACTTGTAGGGTCTCTCCTCTGAGTGGAAGAGTTTGTGCTTCTTCAAATCAGAACTGCTTTTGAAGCTCTTCCCACACTCACAGCACTTGTAGGGTCTCTCCTCTGAGTGGAAGCGTTTGTGGCTCTTCAAATTAGAACTGCTTTTGTAGCTCTTCCCACACTCAGTACACTTGTAGGGTCTCTCCTCTGAGTGGAAGCGTCTGTGGCTATTCAAATTAGACCTGCTTTTGAAGCTCTTGCCACACTCAGAGCACTTGTAGGGTCTCTCTCCTGAGTGCACACGCTGGTGCTGCTTCAATTCAGAACTGCTTTTGAAGCTCTTCCCACACTCAGAGCACTTGTAGGGTCTCTCTCCTGAGTGGATGCGTTGGTGGTAGGTGAGTTGAAATCTCTTTTTGAAGCTCTTCCCACACTCAGAGCACTTGTATGCACTCATTGCTGAGCGTACACACTGGTGGTTAACGACGCTGGAATCTTTTTCAAAGCTGTTTCCACACTCTGTGCATGGATTCTGCTTTTCCTTCTGGCACACATCCTTGCTCCCGGGATCTTCACGCTCCTTCTGACCTATGTTCACGTCCAGTGGGCTCCTTCCTTTCTCTTGCAGACACTTTCCCGGTGGCATCGTGGTGATGTGCTCTGCCTGACCTTGCTCCAGGCCTCCTTGGACATCCCTTCTGATTTCTTCCACACAGACACCACCCCACCGCCTTTTGGCCACACCACTTTCCTGCAGATCCTCCAGTAGATCTGTAACCCCAGTTCCTGCTGGATGAAAGAGGAAATCCAGAAATAGCACACAGTGCCCAAAATAAAACACACACAGAGATGGCTCTTCCAGCCCCAACCTCCTCCTTCCCTCCACTATCTCACCTGGGCTGAGGTCTCCTGGCACGGCCTCAGGGCTACGCACATCTGGGATCCAGGGCTCTTCCCCTCCTTCAAGCAGGGAGATCAGCACTGGTCTGGGGGCTGGAAGTGGAGCTTCAAGCAGAGAAACAGGCGAGATGAGAACATTTCCATCATTCTGGCACAGTGCCTGTTCAACAGCTCTACTCTGTGTCCCTCCCCAGGGAGAAAACACACTTTGGGCACGAATGACACTGGGCCCACAGCTTCCTTTGGAGCAAAGAACGCTTTTACAACTCTGAAAATTAGGAAGGGATATTCTCTTTAAAATTCACTTGTGAACGGCTTGTTTATTTTCTGACAATATGTCAGTGATCAAGGCATCAAAATGTCAACGGCAAGTGAATGGAAAATCCTACACTGTAAAGGAGTAAGCAGGGAGTCATCTGTGAGCTGCAGCTGGTGGCACAATATAAAGCCCCAATGGAAGGGCTGGTTCTCTCCCTCCTGGCTGATGCCTGCTTGCCAGCACTGACTCTGCGGCGTTTGTGAGCCTGCTGTGCATCCTAATCCCTTCTGAAACTCATGCTTCTCAGCATTTCCTTTGCTGCTGTTGTAATTATCAATATGGAACTGCATGGTGATCATTCAAGGCCCGGCCTGCAGAGGCTCCTTCTGCACAGCCAAAGGTGCCCTAACGAGGAGGAAAGGCAGCAAAGCCCTCACCCAGCGAGGCCACGCACTGGTACGTCTCCAGCATCACGTCCCGGTACAGCGCTCGCTGCGCAGGGTCCAGCAGCGCCCACTCCTCCCTGCTGAAATACACGGCCACCTCCGCAAAGCTCACGGGCTCCTGCAAGCAAAGAGGCTCCTTGCTGGGAACAGCCAAGGCCCAGGGAAGCAGCTCAAACAGGACACAAACTCCCGTCCCAGCCGCTTCTCTGGCCCCAGCACACACACGCTGCCTGAGGCCACCTCCCTCTCCCCCTGCATTCACATCCCTCGCCCCTTGGCCTCTCCTGCCTGCTTCCCCCAGCCCCTACCTGACATGGATGTGCTGTGGCCATCTGCTGCTCTCCTGCAGGTGAGATGATCACAGCTGGAAGGCAGAAGTTGAACCAGAGCCTGCAGGGACAAGAGAAGTGGGAGGGGAGCTGTGAGGGAACGCAGCAGTCCATGTCCCAGCCCAGCCCTCCACAGCCCATCTGCAGGGCACTGCCTGGGGGATGGCAACAAGAGGTCTTGCACAGGAAGACAATCAGCAACAGCACTGGTAACACTCTGGCTAAAGGTGATTACAAATCACAAAGCTCACTCAAACAGGGACTTAAAGCATGGCAAGGAGTCAGTCATCTTACCCTAAACCAAGGAGCAGCCCAAGCACCAATTAAGCTCTCCTGCACTGCAGCGGGCTGCATAGCAGGATCTCTCGGCAAGCAGGGATGTCTCTTGGGGTCACACCTTGCACCTTGATGTCAAGACTCCTGCTCAATAACTGATCTTCCCTAAGAGACTCATGGTTACTTTGGAGTTTATTGAGCTTGTCTAAGGTTATATGTTAGATTGAAGATTTCAAGGTAATTATAGAATCGGAAGATTGGCCTAAGTTGAGAACAAACACAAAGAACATCTAGTTCAAACCCCCTCCTGTGTGCAGGGTCACCATCCACCAGACCAGGCTGCCCTGAGCCACATTCAGCCGGGCCTTGAATGCATCCAGAGACGGGGCATCCACGACCTCTATGGGCAACCTCTTCACTTGCTTCAGCACCCTCCGAATGCAAAACTTCCTCCTGATATCTAAACTAAATCTCCCCTTTCTCAATTTAAAACCATTCCCCCTCGTCCTGCCACTATCCACCCACGTAAGCTGTCGTTCTTCCTCCACTTTATGCATTTCCATCAAGTCCCGGAAGGCCACCACGAGCTCTGCCCAGACCCTTCTCTTCTCCAAGCCAAAAAATCCCAGTTCCCCCATTGCACCAAGAATGCCGCGGCGGATGCGTTTCCCTCCTCGCCCACCTGGGGACGCTGCTTCCCATTCAGCTCCGCACGCACACCGCGCTCGCTTCCCGGGGACCTTCTCAGCACCGTGCGCCCTTTGCACGACGCAGCCTGGGCTGCACTTTGCTGACGTGCAGCTCGGGCGCGTTCTCAACGTGAGCTGCAGTCAGCCCACAGACCGCCAGCTTTTCAGCGTCTATTACACAGCCCAGTGCCGGACCTGCTGCAGATGCCGGACGTGCTCAGGGCCCGCACCTGTGCGCTAAAGGCATCTGCAGCTGCTGGGACAGCCTGAACAAAAGCCTTGGCAGGGGTTTGTATGACCCCAGGTGAGCCATCAGCCCAGCGCTAAGCGCACAAAGGGTAACCCTGAAAGGGCCGCTAGAGGCAGATGCTGCCTGCTGGGTCCCCGAAGGGAAACTGCGGGCTGCCGGGGAGGGAGAAGGGACTTGAAATTCCCCCCTTGGAGGCTTCGCATTCAGACGCTCAAAAGGAGGCATCGGGGAGTTTAAAAGTTCCATCAATCCTTGCGTGCAGAGCTGCGGAGCGAGGCCATCTCGTGTCTCCCGTGGCCCAGAGGGAGAAATGCAGTCGAGCTGCGCTGTGTTCCAGAGAGCCAACCGGGCAGCAGAGCACGTTGAGCTGCTGTGCTCACTTCCCCGCTGTCCCAGCTCCAACCCCTTCCTGCGCCCCTCGGAGCCCAAGCCGGGCTGCAACACGCCTGGGAACCGCTGCTCCCTCGTTGCAGCCCGTCTGGCCCAGCAAACCCGCTGTGCTGGGCGGGAGCTGCAGCCGGGACGGGGCTCCGGCCTGCACTACAGCGGTGCCGGTTCCGCCCCGCTCCCCGCTCGCCTCCCGCTGCTGCTGGCAGGGGGCAGGAAATGTGCGCTCCTCTGCCCCAGCCGCGAAGGGCTCCTACCTCGGGTGCGGAGCAGGCTGCTCCCGCCTCTGGTGCAGGCAACCGGGCTCCTGGGAGTCGCGGAGAGCAGAGGATGCCGAGTGCCCTCAGCCCGGAGCTGGCCGCAGCACGGCCTCGCTGCTCCTCCTGCCTCCGCGGTGCTGCCCGGATGGCTTCCGGCCAGGCTCTGGCCGCTTCGGCACAGCCTCAGGTGCCGGGCAGCAATTCCCACAGCGAGCACGCCCCGAGCCGGCTGCCGGGCCTCGGGCAGTTTCACAGCTCGTTCTCCTGGCACATCTGCACCCGGGGAAGGGAGGGATGGGGGCTGCGTTTTGTTACGCTAATGAAGCGTCGCTGTCTGCTGGGTCTCTTTGCTTCCTTTGCTGGAGACATTCGCACAGCCTTGTGGTCACACGTCCCCACGTTGCTGTCCTGCCGTTCCTTTAACTCCCCTCACCGCGAGCAGCTCCCAGCAAGAGGCAATCTCCGGCTGCCTGCTCTCGAGGGCAGCATCTCCCTGCAGCTGGCTCACTTGCTCACTGAGCGCTGCCCATGGCACTGATGTCACGTTTCTACTCGCTGAGCAAGTGAGTTCTATTTCCAACAACTTCCTATCCTGCTTTCTCAATTCGGTCTTCTGTGCAAGGCATGAGCATGGTTAAGCTGTCTGCTGTACGAGGGCCGGCTCTGCTAAAAACTCTCGAGACCCACACATCCACTGTGGGGCAGCGAAAGAGGCCTGGTATGGGCCAGGTTTGTTACAAGTACAGGGAGCCATGTGTCTTAAGGAGATGTCCTACGTGGGGTTGCCCTGGGGAATTAGGCAGACTCCATTACCCAGCAACGGAGGCTTTATAAGTGTGGGAATCAAATGTTGTTTCTGCATTAGAATTGAATAATATATATATATTTTTAATTTCATGATCTCCGCTATCGTAGTTCTTTTTGGGAGTTCTTCTGCTTAACTTCTCTGATAGTTTACATCACTGATCCTCTGGATGATCCTTCCCAAGAACTCTGTATAGAGGTGTATGGATGTATATTTTGTCGTACACACTGCAAGAATATCCTGCACGAGATCAAACCAGAGAACAAGTCATGGCCTGCCCGAGGAAGCGCCTGAAGAGACATTGGAAGGCCTGGCATCGTTCCCCCGGTGTTCTTTGTTTAACAGAATCACGCAGAAGCCCAGAATGTCATTGTAGTACTGCTGAGGGATTGGGCCCCAAATGCAGAGAATCAGGGGGTGGTAACCTGTGAGCTGGGGAGTTCACGGTAGCGTTCTGGAGGGATGGGTAACAGGAGTTCTGAGAGCAGGGGAAAAGTCCCCGGAATGGTGCCTGCAGATAGTGCCTTGGGAGGAATGCTTCAAAACTGGAAAATAATCCCAAAACCAGGGGAAAGAACAGGGAAAAGATGTTTAAACACTGTATGCAGTAGAGAGCCACTACAGGGAAAATCATTATTTTGACCAAAAGAGGAGTCTGACGAGGATCAGGCCTATCAGACTTTGTAGTTATATGTGAACAGTAAGACTCCCTTTTCTGAAACAGAACTGGCTTATGTTGCTTAATGGGTGCAAGAAGTAAAGAAATGTTCCTCACAAGAAGGAGTCGAAGCTCAAAGAAAAAGGAGAGAGAAGCAGAAAGATGATAAATGGGATCCCTTAGGTAACTTTGCCCCCCCTCTTCAATTTCTAAAGCGGTGCAGGCGGCAGTGACCTCTCCAGAGAAGGGGAGCGGGTGCTGCTGATCTGTGCAGGGTCCTGGAGAGAGGATGGGCTCTCGATTACTGAGGGAGTTGGAGTCATGCGAATGGGACCTGGAGAGTTTTCCTTTCTCTAACACTAACCTTACTAACACTTCACTTTACCTCTTAGGGCAGTCTTAGGTCAAAGGGAAATAGGGTATGGTAATGCCTGCTGTTTTTACTAGAAGAGAAGTTAGGAGTTTCAAGAAGAATTCCTTAACTGAGGATCCTATAAGTGTAGCAGAACAATTAGACCAATTTCTAGGGCCTAATTTCTACTCATGGATGGAAATGATGTTTATCATTGATATGTTGATTATTGGAGAAGGAGGCTGGCAGCTACGCAAGTGTGGGAAATGAATACAGAGGGAAGGTTGGGCTCTGGAGGGAGGAGAGAGGAAGGATCCTGAGGATAAATTGTACTGATTATTGTCACTGTCCTTGTGATTGTTAAATGTTCGTGTGGTGAAAGCGTTCTGTTATGTGATGTCATGTACGAGGCTGTTATGGAACAAGGGGTGTCTGAAGTGATACGGGAAGAGCCCCTGGGTTGTATTTTGGCTCAGTGGAGAAACATTGTTGGTGAGCCAGGGGGAATATTGAATAAGAAACCAGGAACGTAAATGTAGTAACGGGACCAGTTGTATAATTGAGTGCCCTAATCATGAGACCAAGTGCTGGGTGTTTGTGGAAGATGAGGAATTGTGTTGTTTGATTTGTGGATTTTGAAGGCACTGGGAGAAACTGTCTTAATGACATGTGGAAATGCAGTTGTTAATGGTAGGGCCTTCGGTTCCTTCTCAGCAGGGAGTCTCCCACAACCACCACCTCTGTGTCCTTCCGGGTGGAAGCAGTCTTGAGGAGCGAGGTCGACCGCTGTACCCGAGGCAACCTCACGGGTTGACCTCCCTCCACATCCCCACACTCCTCTCCCTCAGGTTCCAGGGCCTCAAACCTACTACACAGAGGCACCTGTGGGGCCAAGGATGGTTGGGATGGGGGACGCCTGCTTCGTCAAGCCGGTACCTGTTTCCACTCTTCCTCCTTTCTCAAAGCGCTCAAAGGTGGAAGGAGAGGACAGGAGGCTTGCTGCAACACCATCAGCCTGCCGTTTCCCCTCTCTCACCTGTTTATGAGGCTGCGGGGGATGAGATGCTCCACACAGTGCCTCAGCTACAGCTCCCAGATCTTGGAGCCGATAGGGACTGGCACTACCAGCCAATCTCCTTCTCACACTCCTTTATGGTCCTTAGCCTCTCTACCTCCTCTGTTTTGTTGACCACCAGGCTGAGTAAGTCCTGCAGTTAGTCACATCCTATAAAACTACCACCACCATCGTCTGGCACTTCGAAGGCCAGGCAGTGGCACTCGTGATAGCCACTGACCTGTGTACTAGCATCTCATGTTGGGGCCTCAGTCTGAGTCTCCAAACTCGTCTTTGCAGCAGCTACCCTTTCAAACACGCACAGGACTGCCGTCTGGGTCTCCGTAATTTTTGTGGCATTAGCCTTCCCCCGGGGCGCAGCCATCACAGACCAGCAAGCGTAAACGCTACTAAATAGCGTTAATGAGGCGCGCCTTATCAGCCCCGCGCTGCTGCCGGCAGTACTGGCTCTGCCCTCGCACCGTTGCCGGGTCGTTAACAGGAGCCCCCGCACTTATCACTCGGCCGAAGGGCGATAACAGCCGTCCTTGAGGGGGTGTCCCGTGTAGGAGTGGCTTACTGCTTCTCCTCCATAAATCAGCCCCGGTGTTTCTCACATCTTTATTGGGCAGCGACCAATAGTACAGAAGCCAGAGGCATTCCCTTGTAGAACTAATAAGGCACATGGAGTAATTTAAGTCTTGTTGGGTTATTCCAAGATGCTGAGGAACTCTTTGGTCTGTCAAGGAAAGTGCATCGTCAAAAGTGAAACTCATAAAGAAAAGATGAATTGGTTACTAATTTGCTTTATTTCAGGGTGATATCTCTGGCAAGTTGATGTTGTGTGCTGTTACATTTTGTATTTTGGTTATAACAGTACTATGTTTTGTGTTATATTTACTTGTTATTGTTTAATGTGTGATTGTCACTCTTCTCCCTTCTATTGGGATCAACCTTACATCTCTATACTTAACAATGGCCTCTATTAAGAAAATAATAACACTCTCATTAGTGGGCATGAATATCATTAGTGGAAGTAATATAATGAGTAGGAGTCATTCGGGTAAAGGTTTCTGGTGGCTGGGCAGAGATGGGGCAGCTCAAACTCCCACCAGGCATAGTGAGAACTGTTTGGAGCCAGTATCAAAATCCAAGAAGGGTTAAAAGGGTAAATAACCCACTGGTAAGGTATAATATAATACAGGATACCTTGAGAGCCCTTATCTCAGTCTTAGGAGTAGCTCAGCTGGTTTGGGTTAAACAGGACCCCCCAAATGCGAAGACAGGCTCATCTCCTGCCTTCACAAGAACACTATTAACTGCTAAGTGGTCATCAGCTTCCAACCACCATTAATTTCTCACAGGGTCCTCAGGCTCCCCAGAAATACCTGAAGTGAGGGTTGCCTCGGAACTTTCCCCGTGCTCCTCCATACTCAATTTCATTGATTCTTTGTTGTTCCCCAAAGTCCACACCTCATAGCTACCACGTTAGTGTGACCAAATGCATATTCCTCTTTAAACCCCAGTCCACAACACCAGAAGATTAAAGCAGCACATCCTACTAAGATCCTCACAACCGTGCCCCTTCATTTAATCAGTCCAGATCCCTTACCTCAATTCCTTTAACCTGTATACTATTGGGAGAAAATAAAGATGTTCTTGCTTGGACTGGCAAAAGACCCTCGGAGGTATAAACAAGTTAAAGATTATAACTATTCATGCCAGACAGACCCTCTTGACATGATCACAAGACGTCTGGCTTGTACACCTGGCATGGGTATCAGCAAATGCTATAAAGACCATTGGCAAGCCCTGCCAAAACTGAGGTAGCTTTGTGGAGGTGAGTGGCAAGGAACCGTGGGTGCTCGTGTGACAGAAGAGCAAGCAGCGGATTGCCAAGTGACAGAAGAACCCCTCAACTGTACATGGAACCCACTTTACGTTCCCCTGACCGAGAGCAGACAGAGGAGACAACCTGCACAGAAGGAGGTGAGCGCCAACATGGAGCTGCATCTCGTGCAGGAATGGTTCCACGGCAGCTGGGGGCAGGGCACAGCGGGCGGCACATCGCTGAGCGGCTGCTGATGGAGTACTGTGCTGAGATGGAGGCCCCTGACGGCTCCTTCCTGGTCAGGGAAAGTGAGACTTACATTGGGGACTACGTTCTGTCCTTCTGGCACTGTGGGAAGGTGCGGCATTGCCGCATACACTGGCAACGGGACGCTACCAGTCAGAAGTTCTTCCTGACTGACACCGGCTATTTGACAGGTTTATAAATATCCAGGTCTATAAATATTTAAGGTGTGGGGGGCAGAATGGCGAGGCCAGACTGTTTTCAATGGTGAGTGGAGACAGGACAAGGGGAAACGGCTGGAAACTGCAGCAAAGGAAGTTCTGCACCAATGTGTGCAAGAACTTCTTTACAGTGAGGTGACGGAGCACTGGAACAGGCTGCCCAGGGAGGTGGTGGAGTTTCCTTCTCTGCAGATGTTCAAGACCTGCCTGGATGCCTACCTGTGCGACCTGCTGTAGGGAACTGCTTTGGCAGGGGGTTGGACTCGATGATCTCTGGAGGTCCCTTCCAACCCCTACAATTCTGTGATTCTGTGATCCAGCACTGCTGCATGCAGCAAAAGGGTCACAATTAATGAGACACTTGACCAAGAGCATGTTGTTCCAGTTCACTGTGCACAATGAAAGATTTGTTCTGCGGACAGGACAGCAGACTCTGTGTCTAATTGCCGCGGGTAAACCTTAACTGCTTTGCCATTCTCAACCTGTAGCAGGATCTTCGGATAGGAAATGGCATAGAGAGTGTTTAACCAGTATTCCATAGTTGTATATCCATATGCAAAACCGCCTTGTCATCCCTAGAGAAGTCCTCAGCTCTTCCTGAGGAGATCTCTGGGTCCTAGAGCCCTGCTCTCAGCTCCTCCCCTCCTAAGGCTTCCCGGGCTAACACTGGCAGATCAAGTTTCCCAGGTCCCTCCAGATGAAGGCTATTCGCTTCCAGCGGCTCATCTCCTGCCTTCACAAGAACACTATTAACTGCTAAATGGTCATCAGCTTCCAACCACCATTAATTTCTCACAGGGTCCTCAGGTTCCCCAGAAATAACTGAACTTCCTTTCCCAGTGCTCCTCCATACTCAATTTGATTGATTCTTTATTGTTCCCCAAAGTCCACACCTCATAGCTACCACGTTAGTGTGACCAAATGCATATTCCTCTTTAAACCCCAGTCCACAATGCCAACCAAAATGCCAGTTTCCTCTATTCCAAGAAGTGTGCTCCCACACTGATCGCCATCACCCAACCTATAGCCGTGGGTCCACCTCCAAGGGGAGCACCCTCGCTCCTTCACCTCCACGTAGGATGTCTCCTTAAGACACGTGACTCCCTGTACCTATAACATACCAGGCCTCTTTCTCTGCCCCACAGTGGATGTGTGGGTCTCGAGAGTTTTTAGCAGAGCCGGCCCTCGTACAGCAGACAGCTTAACCATGCTCATGCCTTGCACAGAAGACCGAATTGAGAAAGCAGGATAGGAAGTTGTTGGAAATAGAACTCACTTGCTCAGCGAGTAGAAACGTGACATCAGTGCCATGGGCAGCGCTCAGCGAGCAAGTGAGCCAGCTGCAGGGAGATGCTGCCCTCGAGAGCAGGCAGCCGGAGATTGCCTCTTGCTGGGAGCTGCTCGCGGTGAGGGGAGTTAAAGGAACGCCAGGACAGCAACGTGGGGACGTGTGACCACAAGGCTGTGCGAATGTCTCCAGCAAAGGAAGCAAAGAGACCCAGCAGACAGCGACGCTTCATTAGCGTAACAAAACGCAGCCCCCATCCCTCCCTTCCCCGGGTGCAGATGTGCCAGGAGAACGAGCTGTGAAACTGCCCGAGGCCCGGCAGCCGGCTCGGGGCGTGCTCGCTGTGGGAATTGCTGCCCGGCACCTGAGGCTGTGCCGAAGCGGCCAGAGCCTGGCCGGAAGCCATCCGGGCAGCACCGCGGAGGCAGGAGGAGCAGCGAGGCCGTGCTGCGGCCAGCTCCGGGCTGAGGGCACTCGGCATCCTCTGCTCTCCGCGACTCCCAGGAGCCCGGTTGCCTGCACCAGAGGCGGGAGCAGCCTGCTCCGCACCCGAGGTAGGAGCCCTTCGCGGCTGGGGCAGAGGAGCGCACATTTCCTGCCCCCTGCCAGCAGCAGCGGGAGGCGAGCGGGGAGCGGGGCGGAAGCGGCACCGCTGTAGAGCAGGCCGGAGCCCCGTCCCGGCTGCAGCTCCCGCCCAGCACAGCGGGTTTGCTGGGCCAGACGGGCTGCAACGAGGGAGCAGCGGTTCCCAGGCGTGTTGCAGCCCGGCTTGGGCTCCGAGGGGCGCAGGAAGGGGTTGGAGCTGGGACAGAGGGGAAGTGAGCACAGCAGCTCAACGTGCTCTGCTGCCCGGTTGGCTCTCTGGATCACAGCGCAGCTCGACTGCGTTTCTCCCTCTGGGCCACGGGAGACACGAGATGGCCTCGCTCCGCAGCTCTGCACGCAAGGATTGATGGAAGTTTTGAACTCCCCGATGCCTCCTTTTGAGCGTCTGAATGCGAAGCCTCCAAGGGGGGAATTTCAAGTCCCTTCTCCCTCCCCGGCAGCCCGCAGTTTCCCTTCGGGGACCCAGCAGGCAGCATCTGCCTGTAGCGGCCCTTTCAGGGTTACCTTTTGTGCGCTTAGCGCTGGGCTGATGGCTCACCTGGGATCGTGCAAACCCCTACCAAGGCTCTTGTGCTGGCTGTCCCAGCATCTGCAGATGCCTTTAGCGCACAGGTGCGGGCCCTGAGCACGTCCAGCATCTGCAGCAGGTCCGGCACTGGGCTGTGCAATAGACGCTGAAAAGCTGGCGGTCTGTGGGCTGACTGCAGCACACATTGAGAACGCGCCCGAGCTGCACGTCAGCAAAGTGCAGCCCAGGCTGCGTCGTGCAAAGGGCGCACGGTGCTGAGAAGGTCCCCGGGACCGAGCGCGGTGTGCGTGCGGAGCTGAATGGGAAGCAGCGTCCCCAGGTGGGCGAGGAGGGAAACGCATCCGCCGCGGCATTCTTGGTGCAATGGGGGAACTGGGATTTTTTGGCTTGGAGAAGAGAAGGGTCTGGGCAGAGCTCGTGGTGGCCTTCCAGGGCTTGAAGGAAACGCATAAAGTGGAGGAAGAACGACAGCTTACGTGGGTGGATAGTGGCAGGACGAGGGGGAATGGTTTCAAATTGAGAAATGGGCGACTTAGGTTAGATATCAGGAGGAAGTTTTGCATTCAGGGGGCGGAGAGGGACATGAAAAGGTCACCCACAGAGGACATGGATGCCCAATCCTTTGGGGTATTCGAGAGCAGGTGGACGTGGCTCAGGGCTGGCCAATGTGGTGGATGGCATTCCTGCACATAGCGAGGGGTTGAAACTAGTTGTTCATTGTGGTCCTTTTCAACTCACGCTATTGTATGATTCTGTGATTACCTTGAGATCATCACTGTAACACATAACTATAGAGATGCTCATGAATTTCCAAAATAACCTTGCACCTCTTACTGAAGATCTGTGTATGCAAGCTGTCTTGACAGCAAGCTGAGAGGGATCTCTGTACAGCTGTGACCTTGAGAGACATCCCTGCTTGTGGGAAGATCCTGTAGTTCGGCCCATTGCTGTGCAGTAGAGCTCGAGGGGCGCTTGCGCTGCACCCTGTTTAGGGGTAAGAGGAGTGACTCATTGCCATGCATTGTCTTAAGTCCCTGTTTGAGTGAGCTTTGTGATTTGTAATCAGCTTTAGCCAGAGTGTTACCAGTGCTGTTGCTGATTGTCTTCCTGTGCAAGGCCTCTTGTTGCCATCCCCCAGGCAGTGCACTGCAGATGGGCTGTGGAGGGCTGGGCTGGGACATGGACTGCTGCGTTCCCTCACAGCTCCCCTGGCATTTCCCTTGTCCCTGCAGGCTCTGGTTCAACTTCTGCCTTCCAGCTGTGATCATCTCACCTGCAGGAGAGCAGCAGATGGCCACAGCACATCCATGTCAGGTAGGGGCTGGGGGAAGCAGGCAGGAGAGGCCAAGGGGCGAGGGATGTGAATGCAGGGGGAGAGGGAGGTGGCCTCAGGCAGCGTGTGTGTGCTGGGGCCAGAGAAGCGGCTGGGACGGGAGTTTGTGTCCTGTTTGAGCTGCTTCCCTGGGCCTTGGCTGTTCCCAGCAAGGAGCCTCTTTGCTTGCAGGAGCCCGTGAGCTTTGCGGAGGTGGCCGTGTATTTCAGCAGGGAGGAGTGGGCGCTGCTGGACCCTGCGCAGCGAGCGCTGTACCGGGACGTGATGCTGGAGACGTACCAGTGCGTGGCCTCGCTGGGTGAGGGCTTTGCTGCCTTTCCTCCTCGTTAGGGCACCTTTGGCTGTGCAGAAGGAGCCTCTGCAGGCCGGGCCTTGAATGATCACCATGCAGTTCCATATTGATAACTACAACAGCAGCAAAGGAAATGCTGAGAAGCATGAGTTTCAGAAGGGATTAGGATGCACAGCAGGCTCACAAACGCCCCAGAGTCAGTGCTGGCAAGCAGGCATCAGCCAGGAGGGAGAGAACCAGCCCTTCCATTGGGGCTTTATATTGTGCCACCAGCTGCAGCTCACAGATGACTCCCTGCTTACTCCTTTACAGTGTAGGATTTTCCATTGACTTGCCGTAGACATTTTGATGCCTTGGTCACTGATATATTGTCAGAAAATAAACAAGCCGTTCACAAGTGAATTTTAACGAGAATATCCCTTCGTAATTTTCAGAGTTGTAAAAGCGTTCTTTGCTCCAAAGGAAGCTGTGGGCCCAGTGTCATTCGTGCCCAAAGTGTGTTTTCTCCCTGGGGAGGGACACAGAGTAGAGCTGTTGAACAGGCACTGTGCCAGAATGATGGAAATGTTCTCATCTCGCCTGTTTCTCTGCTTGAAGCTCCACTTCCAGCCCCCAGACCAGTGCTGATCTCCCTGCTTGAAGGAGGGGAAGAGCCCTGGATCCCAGATGTGCGTAGCCCTGAGGCCGTGCCAGGAGACCTCAGCCCAGGTGAGGTGGTGGAGGGAAGGAGGAGGTTGGGGCTGGAAGAGCCATCTCTGTGTGTGTTTTATTTTGGGCACTGTGTGCTATTTCTGGATTTCCTCTTTCATCCAGCAGGAACTGGGGTTACAGATCTACTGGAGGATCTGCAGGAAAGCGGTGTGGCCAAAAGGCGGTGGGGTGGTGTCTGTGTGGAAGAAATCAGAAGGGATGTCCAAGGAGGCCTGGAGCAAGGTCAGGCAGAGCACATCACCACGATGCCACTGGGAAAGTGTCTGCAAGAGAAAGGAAGGAGCCCACTGGACGTGAACATAGGTCAAAAGGACCGTGGAGATCCCAGGAGCAAGGATGTGTGCCAGAAGGAAAAGCAGAATCCATGCACAGAGTGTGGAAACAGCTTTGAAAAAGATTCCAGCATCGTTAACCACCAGTGTGTACGCTCAGCAATGAGTGCATACAAGTGCTCTGAGTGTGGGAAGAGCTTCAAAAAGAGATCTCAACTCACCTACCACCAACGCATCCACACAGGAGAGAGACCCTACAAGTGCTCTGAGTGTGGCAAGAGCTTCAAAAGCAGTTCTGAATTGAAGCTGCACCAGCGTGTGCACTCAGGAGAGAGACCCTACAAGTGCCCTGATTGTGGGAAGAGCTTCACATGGAGTTCCCAATTCACCTACCACCAACGCAATCACACACGAGAGAGACCCTACAAGTGTACTGAGTGTGGGAAGAGCTACAAAAGCAGTTCTGATTTGAAGAAGCACAAACGCTTCCACTCAGAGGAGAGACCCTACAGGTGCTGTGAGTGTGGGAAGGCCGTAAAAAGCCGTTCCCAGCTCATCTACCACCTGCGCATCCACACAGGTGAGAAACCGTTTCAGTGTCGTGAGTGTGGGAAGAGCTATAAAAGCAGTTCTGAACTGAAGCGCCACGAGCGCCTCCACACAGGGGAGAAACCCTTTCAGTGTCATAAGTGTGGGAAGAGCTTCACGTGCAGTTCCCAACTCACCTACCACCAGCGCATCCACACAGGAGAGAGACCCTACAAGTGCTCTGAGTGTGGGAAGAGCTTCATTAGCAGTTCTGAACTGAAGCGGCACCAGCGCATCCACACAGGAGAGAGACCCTACAAGTGCTCTGAGTGTGGGAAGACCTTCAAATACAGTTATGCATTGAAGCAACACCAGCACTTCCACACAGGGGAGAAACCCTACAAGTGCCCTGAGTGTGGGAAGAGCTTTACACGCAGATCTTATCTCAATACCCACAAGCGCATCCACACCGCACACAGGCTGTAGAAGCATCTCAAGATAAGGAGAACCTTCAAAAGCAGTTTCAGCATCGTTACCTATCAGCACAGCCACACAAGACACAGAGCCTGCAAAGCCCATAACGTGGGAAGAGCTTCAGGCAGAGCCCCAGCCTGGTGACCAACTATGGATTTGTGTAGTGATGAACCTTACAAATCCCTTGAGCAGAGGAAAAGCTCTGCGGCCAATCTAAATCCTCTTTCTCCTTCTTTGCATGAGAATTCTGCACATTGCTCTCCTTCAGCTGCAGTTGCTGTGTTGAGTGGCCATACAGAGGAGAATCCAGAGTGGGATGTGTCACAGCCACTCAAAAAGTTCTGCCAGGTGGCACGTTTCTGCCAGGGCTGTGTGCAAGGAGAGTCACCTCTTACCTCCCCCGTAGAAACTCCTGTGCCTGGGGCAGCAGGTGAGGATCCAAAGGAAACCTCAGCTGGGCTGATATGTCATCAGGAAGGAAGAAATCCTGTCTGCAGGCTGTGTGGGAAGAGCTTCATCTGGAGCTCAACCCTCAGTAGATCCCAGAGAACCAACCAGTGGAGAGTCCCAGTGAGTGCCTTGACTGCAGGAAGAGGTGTGTCCAGAGCTGGGAGCTCAGCACACACCTGTGGATTCACATGAGGAACCCTACAAATGTGCAGCCTGCAAGAAGAGTTTTGGCCACACCTCAAACCTGCTGAGCTACCAGAGTGTCTGCACTTGGGTGAAGTCCAGTGAGTTCACGTGGCAGGAAGCCATAGAAATGCCTCGCATGTGAGAAGGGCTTTGTGCAGAGGGCAGAGTTCCTCACTGGCCCTACAAGTGTTCCTGGTGCACGACTGGCACCCTCTGCAGAAGGGACTTAACCCAGGAGCTTCAGATGGCCTTTCCTTGCTACCCAGAGCAGTTCTCTCACCATGCCCGGTTTCTTCTGCTCTTCCTGCCAGCAGCTTTTTGATGCCGTTTCCTAAGGAGAAGCAGCTGTGCAGGGATGTTCTGTGTGTCTGTGTGCATGTGTTGCTCTCAGTAATTTGTGAGTGCACTGGTGAACCTGAGAGAAGGGTCAGGAGAGCAGTAACGTGGCTGTTGGAGGTTTTCTGAGAATCACCTGTAGTGGAAGGCGTAGAGGATGAATAAAGAAGCTGAATTGTTCTGAATCTTTCTTCAGTGTAGTCTTGTTTGTTGTTCTTACAATGAATGTCAGCATGTGGAATGAGGAGAAGGAAAGGTGCAAGCAGGATTTGGTTTGTGTGCCTCCTCCAGACCAGTGCTTGCTTCTGTAGAAGACGTTTTGTTCATACAATCCTATCATCCTTCTCAACCGTGCTGCACAGTGTTTCTATTGCTCAGAGCAGCACTGTGACACTGAGCCTTGTCTCCAATAAAAGTACAAAAAGCTGAGCTTGTTCTCCAAGTTTCTGGAAGTGGATTGAGCAGAAGGCAGTGCAAACCCACACGGTGTGCCAGCAGCTCATCCCCACAGCACAGAGATACCAGAGTGCTCTCCAGTGCATGCTTGCCTTGCAAGTGATCCCTTTTGAGCTTTAAGGTTTTTATTTTCACCTTGGAAGGTGTGTGCGAGACCTCCTGCAGGAGGGCCTTCTCATTTGCTGTGCTCAGCTAAAGCTGCCGTGCTAGGGATGCAGTTGGCAGAAAGTGGAGGTTGATTTTGTTGAACAAGAGCTTACCCATGTCCTCAGGTGAGGCTCTGTGAAGGCTTCCTGACCTCCGAGAAGCTGCAAGGGGATGATGATTGCAGTACTGAGAAGCTCTGCTTCCTCCATCCCAGGAAGCAGGGCCTGGTCTTCTGCAAGAGAGGTATAGCAGAGCCCTGGAGGATGGACAAACTCACAGCTCCAAGGGAAAATGCCTGGGGAGGAAGCAAGCTGATGGGAGGCTTGGGGATCCCCAGCAACAGAGACAACTGCTCAGCCAAGAGTTGGGGTGATTTACTTTTCAACTGCATCCAGTAATTGCTGTCATGTGGCATCGGTAATGTGTCTCCTCTTTCCTTTTATGTTTCCCCAAACAGCATTCTCACTATTTTTTTTTTTTTTTTCATCTTACATCACTATTCTGAAAAATATTGATCAGGTTTTCCTTGAAATGAGAATAAAAATGATTTTCCACTTTACTCCCTGAAACATCCTTTTGTCTGCGGATTCCCCCTAATATTGTGTACCAACCTGGTGTCGACCTGCCAGCAGGTCGAAGGAGGTGATCCTCCCCCTCTACTCTGCCCTGGTAAGGCCTCATCTGGAGCACTGCGTCCAGTTCTGGGCTCCCCAGTACAAAACAGACAGGGATCTCTTGGAAAGAGTCCAGTGGAGGGCCACAAAGATGGTGAGGGGCCTGGAGCATCTCTGCTATAAGGAAAGGCTGAGTGAACTGGGTCTGTTCAGCCTTGAGAAAAAAAGACTGAGAGGGGACCTGATCCAGGTCTATCAGTATCTGAGGTGTGGGGGGCAGAGTGGTGAGGCCAAACTGTTTTCAGCAGTGTGTGCAGACAGGACAAGGGGAGAAGGCCAGAAACTGCAGCATAGGAAGTTCTGCACCAATGTGCACAAAAACTTCTTTAGGTGAGGTGACGGAGCGCTGGAACAGGCTGCCCAGGGAGGTGGTGGAGTCTCCTTCTCTGGAGATGTTCATGACCCACCTGGACACCTACTTGTGTGACCTGGTGTAGGGAACCTGCTTTGGCAGGGGGGTTGGACTCCATGATCTCTGGAGGTCCCTTCCAACCCCTACGATTCTGTGATTCTGTGACACAAGCTTCAGCTCAGCGTGAGCTTTAGCCTTCCCCATTGCTTCTCTGCAGGCTCTGACAACACACCTGTACTCCTCCCACAGGGACAGGCCCTTTTTTCCACTTCTCCTAAACCTCCTTCTTCCCTTTGATCTTATCCATGAGCTCCTTGCTCATCCACGCAGACCTCCCGCATCCATTCCCCAATTTCCTACTCTTAGGGATGCACCGATCCTGAGCTTGGAAGAAGTGCTGCTTAAATGTTGCCCAGCTCTCAAGGGCCCTCTTACCTTCAAGCACTCCAGCCCATGAGATACATCCAAGTAGAAAATGTTGGAGCTGGCTCTCTGAAAGTCCAGGGCAGCAATCCCACTTTTTGCCTTACTTCTTCCACACAAGATCTTGAACACCACCATCTCATGAATGCTGCATCTCAAGCTGCCCCCAAACTTCTCATCCCTAACAAGCCCATTCCTGATGGAAAGAACAAGGTCCAAAATCACCCCACCCACCCCTTGTTGGCTTCTCCAACAACTGTGTGTCAAAACTATCTTCAGCACATTGCAGGATCCGTTTGGACTGTTTGTGCCTGGCCGTGTTGCTTACCCAGCAGATATCTGGATGATTCACGTCCCCCATGACAACCAGTGCATGGGATTGCAAGGCTACTTCCAGCTGCGGGTAGAAGGCCTCATGGAATTCATCCTCCTGATCTGGTGACTGTAGTACAATCCACAGCAATGTTGGCCATACCAGCCCTGCTCTTAATTCTCACCCACAAGCACTCCACACGTCCTTCACCCTCTCACGGGTGCACCTCAATCCATTCTAGTAGCTCTCTCACATAAAGTGCAACTCCTCCACCTCGCTTCCCCAGCCTGTCTTTCCTGAAAAGGACAGAGCCCTCCATGGCAGCATTCTAATCATGTGAGCTGTTGCACCACATCTCCGTGATTGCAGTGAGATCATGGCCCTGCAACTATACACAGATCTAGAGCTCATCCTGTTATTTCCTGTGCTACTCGCCCTGGTCTACAGGCACTTTAGGGAAGCAGCAGGTGCAGTTACCCTGAGAGGGATGCAAGAAGATTTTGGATGGAGTATTGGCAACAGGACCTTTACTGAGGAGTCTCGGTACGATCCTATGGGACCTACGTTCAGAGGTTTTTCCCTGCAATCTCCAACAGTGACAACATCCCTCAGCCCTTCTCTGCCACACTGAATTCCCCTCCCTTGCCTCTTTGGACCTAATTTAAAGCCCTGGTAATCAATGCAGAGAGCTTGCTCCCCAGCACACGTGAGCTCTGCTTGCTCAGTTGGAGTCCATCAGGAGCCCACATACCTGGTTTCTCAAATACCTGCACAAGATCAGAATATCCAAAGCCTTGATAAGGCCCTGCCCCTTCAGCCAGGCAGCAAATGGGAGCCTCAGTGCTCCCCAGCGAGGGGCCCCCAATTACTAAGACTCTCCATCCTTTTTTGGTGGCACTGATACTGATGCAGTGCCCTGTCTGGCCCCCTGCCCTGCATTCTCAACGTGCTTCTCGGGACATCAGTTCTGACTATTTTCCTGACCCTCATCCTTTTCTGGCCTGAGAGACTCAAATCTATGACACAGGGACACTGCAGGGGTTGGTGGCACCGTGGATGTTGAGGGCAGACGCCTCCCTCTGCTACAAGCAGAACTGAGCAAATGAAGAGTTGGTAACCATTCACGTGGGTAAATGCTATCAGTAACTCCAGTAACTCGGAGGTGAGGTGATCCTGCATTCCTGGTCCACAAAAGAAATCCTATGGCACAGAGAAGGCAACTTAACCTTGTGCACAAACCA